AAGGCCGCAACGGATCTCTCATCCCAAGGAATGACGTTGTTCTTGGCCTTTGGCTCTACGTTGAGAACTTTGATGAGCGGTGCCATGATTCCGGCTGCATGCGGGAGGAAACGATGTTAGTAGTTCACCATCCCGATGAAGCGTTGTAACTCTATCATTTTCTTTGGCCGCGGGAATGCGCGAATGTTCTCTACCTTGTCCGGCAGCGGAGAGATGCCCTCGCTGGAAACTCTGTGCCCAAGGAAATCCACCGATGGGAGGCCGAACCTGCATTTCTCGGCGTTGACTACGAGTCCATGATCTTTGAGGCGTTCGAGAAGAATTTCGAGGTGCTGCAGATGTTGTCTCTTGTTGGCGGATGCAACAAGAACATCGTCCAGGTACACGAATAGGAATGGAAGATCTCCTAGTACTGAGTCCATAAGCCGTTGGAAAGTTTGAGCGCTATTTCTCAAACCGAAGGGCATCCTTGTATATTCCCGCAGACCGAAAGGGGTAATGATTGCTGTCTTCGGAATGTCTTCCGGGGCCATGGGTATCTGGTGGTAACCTTTCACTAGGTCAATTTTGGAGAAGATCTTGCAGCCGTGCAAGTTAGACGCGAAGTCGTGTATGTGAGGTAGTGGATAGCGGTCAGGCTCAGTGATGTCATTAACCTGACGGAAATCGCCACAGGGTCGCTTGGTGCCATCTGCCTTCGGCACAACATGGAGTGGGCTCGACCAAGGGCTACACGATTTCCTGATGATACCGAGTTTTTCCAAAGATTGGAACTCCTTCTTGACTTCCCGTAGTACGTCGGGGGCCAAACGCCGTGCTCTGGCGTGACGAGGAGGACCTTTAGTCACAACATGATGTTGGACTTTGTGCTTGACTGCGGCGTTGAAACGCGGTGTGAGAACGGCGGGGAAACGTAGGAGAAGCGCCTCGAAGTCATTGCTAGCCTTCGTCAGTATGCTGACTATGCTCCGAGACCGTGGTGTGTGGAGAGGAATGACCGCTAGCGATACGGTGTCTATGAGTCTCCTTCCGGGAAGATCAATCAAGAGTCCAGCGTTTCGAAGGAAATCGGATCCTAAAATGGCGTGTTTGACGTCAGCCACGATGAAGGTCCATGTGAATGTGAATCGGTTTGCGAGGTTCAGCTTGAGATCTTTCTTCCCGTACGAAGTGATTGGAGTATGATTTGCGGCTAGGAGGCTGTGCGAACTAGGAACCAAGCGATCACCCGGCGCCGGCGGAACGATACTGACTTGTGCCCCTGAATCTACTAGGAAATTTCGCCTTGACTCGGCACAGAACACGAAGAAGAGATCGCCTTTCTGCTGCGCGCCGGCCGTACAAGCGATTACTGACGGCCGGCGAGGGCATTTCCCTGCGTCGAAGCGACTTTTCCATTCCACGAGCAAGGCATGAGGCAGTTCCTCGAAAGTTCACCGTACCTGGTATGAAATCTACATACTCTTGTCGTTTTTTCTGTTTGTGTAGGTCCTTGCTTTTTGGTACCCCGCACGAGCCGCTGAACCGCTTCAACTTCGGTGGATTCTCCGTCTTGTACATTGTAAGCGGTCGTCGTCTGCCGCTGAGCGAACACCTTGTCGCAGAACTTCGCCAGCTCCCGGAGTTTGAGATCGTCAAGCGCGGCGGCTTGCACTCGGACAGAGGCCGGAAGCTTCTGGATGAAATGGAATCGGAATAGGGGGTTCGTCTCAGCGCCCGCGTCTGGCCGGTACAGACCTAGCATCCTGTCCAGGAGTCTGGACGGCGTATCATCACCCATGGTCAGAGATATTAGCGCAGCCAGCCGCTGGTGTTGATTGACTTTGAAAGAATCGAGAAGCCTTGCTTTGAAGTTCGCGTATCTCGACCCCGCGGAGGGAAGGGCGTCGAAGAAATCCGCGACTCGTTCCTGTGCGTCCTGGTCTAGAGCAGTAAGGGCATACTCAAATTTCGTCTGGTCGTCGGTAATCTTGCGCAGGCTGAACTGGGCCTCGATAGTCGTGAACCAGATGCTGGGCTGCTTCTGCCAGAACGGCGGTAGCTTCAAGCTGACGGCTGAGATTTGTACTGGGGCGGCATTGGCTCCCAGCTCGAGGCTCTCCCTCGAGTCTTCAAACTGGTCGGAATCTGTCATGATTCGACGTCCGGGTCACCAATTTGGCGTGTAGAACCACCAAGTGATCGAGAACACGAGTCGTAGTTTGAGCGGCTACGGACTGAATGAATTTATTGCTTCGTCGTCTTCGCGTAATAATATGGAAATGTGCGGCGCCCGCCACATTCCCACAATCTCCAGCTCTGCACCGGAAAACTGAGTCCGCATCGGTCTGACCTAGTCGTGAGGCGATTCCAGAATCTCCTCTGACCGAGCTAAATGGCCGAGGGGCGTCTCGCACCTGAACGCTCGACATGTCCCTACATGCATGCTCGTGGCTCGTAGTGGACAGATGAGGGCCCAAAGCGCATGCGCAATCAGTCCCTCTCTGCTTCAACGAGAGCCTGTTGTGTGGAATGAGACACTTTGCGCGCCAAAAATCCGGAACGCATCTAAGATCCGTCCGTGAATAGCAGAGCGTCAGCCGAAGACAGTCTGAGGTAGATTAGTTGCGAAGTACCAGGTCAAGCCAAAGTTCCGAAGAAGCTTTCCCCCAACAGCAGAATGCACGTCCTGAAACGAGGTGAGTTTCAGCGCGGGGCGCGCACCAGGCTCTTGTTGCGTGCCAGGCATGCCCGAGCCAGCCAGCCAGTGAGCGAGCCAGCCCTGTGCCCTGTCATTGGGAAGCGCTTTTTCACGATTTTTTTGGCGACACCTCAACGGATGATCTCGAGCTGTGCTCTGAGCAGGATGTCAGAGATCGGACTAATCCACTGGAATCGAGCGATTATAGCGAAGTTTCTCGGCTGAATGAAATCCTTGGATCTTGGACAACTGAGGTCTCATTTCTCACACAATTCTACCAGCGATTCGCTTCACCTTTTTTCTGGGGGAGGAATCTAGGCAGCGACATTTTTTCCGGAGTAATAGAGATATGCACACAATGACGGCTCCTCTCTCAGCTGAATTTCCCCCCGGCCAATGAGGGTTTCTTCAAAGCGATTTTTTCGCTCTCGTCTCTGACTTTCATTCTCGCGGTGGAGAGAATGCGCTCCGAAAACCTCTCTGAGTCAAAGACGGCGCGGCGCTTCCTCTCTGGTAGCTTTGGCGGGCACTCGCGTTGAAACCGTAGCAACCGTAGCAACCGTCCGTCCTCTTCCGTGTACGACCCGAGCCTGAAAGCAACATGCAATTGCACAAGTTGTATGTAGAGAAGAGAGGTATGTTTATTTTTCGAACACGTTCAAAATGTACTGCTCGAATCTTTCGGCTGGAGGAAGGATGCAAATTTAGGTTAATTCGTTAGACGAAAACCATCTCGCAATAATGTCTCCGAGGATCCTTCCTCGGATTGTTTCCGGAGGTAATATCAAGGAAAAATCGGCTAATCATGTATTATTGTCATTTCGAGCCTCGCGGTCATATCCAGAGCGAGAAGTGTTCTCCTGAAAAGCCCGAAAAGGCTGAAGATGGAGCACAGCCTGAGATGGAGCTTGCGATTAGAGCTTGAGGATCTCGGGTGGCTCCGACTTGAGTTCTAAATCTTGGTATCGAGATCGAGAAGGATGGCCATGTAAATGCTCACGAGCATTGGTCGAGCAACGCTCAAGAATAAGCATTTTCTGCTCCTGGAATATTATCCTACGCCTATTTCGGCATTGTACTTCGGGGCTCTCAAATGAACCCGAGCTCCTCCTTCTCTCTTATTTGTTCGGCTTCATGCCCAGTAGACCGTTTCCCCAGGGGGATCCACTCGGATTCAGCCCGAATATTCCAAACGCGGAAGCTCCGAATCGGGGGCGGATCACACGGAGAGTCCTACATACTTGGGACAATCTGGGGAGGCGCCGAGAAACTGCGGCATCTGACGCTGCGTTCTTGACGGAAGTCGTGCGCTGAACTCTCCGAACCTTGACAGTTTGGTGATTCGGTCCGCCAAAGACCGAAGCACCAACAGTTTCTTCAGGGGAACGTGGATGATGTTTTCTACTCGTGGATGAAACTTCTCTACTCTTACCAGATGGCCGAAAGGAGCCGGTCCATTTCGACAAGATCACTTCCCGGATTTCGAAACTCTGCTATGGCCTCAATACGGAGTTCGTTGACGCCGTGAGTATGGGGTCTCAATGAGGTCTTCGGGAGGGTCTTCCCATAATTCCCAATCGTCTTCATGCCATTGGCGACCGGAATCGCTGGTGATCGATGGGTGCATGGTCCGAAAAACATTCCGAGCGTTTCCTCTCTTCTACAGACCAAGATCACGCAGAAAGTTATTCAGGGCCTCTACGCAGGAGTCACCACCAAAGAACTCGACGATCTGGCCGCTGAAACTGCGGCTACTATGACCACGAAGCATCCAGATTATGCAGTTCTAGCCGCGCGGATCGCAATCTCCAATCTGCACAAGGAGACGAAAAAACACTTCTCGGAGACGATTCATATCTTGAGGTAATTCTGCTTATTCTCCGATTGTTTCTGTCGACTATGCACACCGCCCTCTCGAGGTCCGAGTTCCCTCTCGGATCAACATCTTCCCCTCGTATATGAACTTGCCTAACGCAGTCTTCTCGGGCAGAACGATGTCCAATGGAAAGACGGGCAAACCCATGCCGATGATAAGTGAGGAAACCTACAACTTCGTCATGGCCAACAAGGACCGCCTGGACTCGGCAATAGTCTACGATAGGGACTTCAACTACAACTACTTCGGATTCCGAACCCTCGAGCGATCCTACCTCCTAAAAATCGACGGTAAAATCGTCGAGAGACCTCAGCACATGCTGATGCGCGTTTCGGTCGGAATTCACGGTGACGACGTGGAGGCCGCCATCGAGACCTACAACTTCATGAGCGAGAAATGGTTCACCCACGCCAGTCCGACGCTGTTCAACGCGGGTACTTGCCGCCCACAGTTGAGCTCCTGTTTCCTGCTGACAATGAAGGATGATTCTATCGAAGGGATCTACGAAACGCTGAGCCAATGCGCTCTGATCTCGAAATCCGCCGGTGGTATTGGTGTAAACATCCATTGCATTCGACCTACGGGCTCTTACATCGCCGGGACGAACGGGACGTCGAACGGTATCGTTCCCATGCTGCGAGTTTTCAACAACACCGCTCGCTACGTCGACCAGGGCGGCAACAAACGACCCGGCGCTTTCGCCATCTATCTCGAGCCGTGGCACGGCGATATTTTCGAGTTCTTGGATCTCCGTAAAAACACTGGCATCGAAGAGATGCGTGCCCGCGACCTCTTCTACGCCCTGTGGATTCCGGACCTGTTCATGAAACGCGTTGAACAAAACGGCAAGTGGTCGCTCATGTGTCCCAATACGTGCCCGGGCCTCAGTGACACGTGGGGCGACGAGTTCGAGAAACTCTACGAGGGCTATGAGAAGGAAGGCCGTTACATCCGCCAGATCGACGCCCAGAAACTGTGGTATACGATCCTGGAAAGTCAGATCGAAACCGGGACCCCGTACATGCTGTACAAGGACGCTTGCAACCGCAAGAGCAACCAACAGAATCTCGGGACCATCAAGTGCTCGAATCTTTGCACAGAAATCGTCGAGTACTCGTCGCCAGACGAGATCGCGGTCTGCAACTTGGCTTCGGTGGCCCTCAACCGCTTCGTGCACGACGGCGCTTTCGACTTCGAGAGATTGAGAGAAGTGACCAAAGCCATCACGCGAAACCTCAACAAAATCATCGACATCAACTACTATCCCGTGCCGGAAGCCGAACGAAGCAACAAGAGACATCGACCGATCGGAATCGGTGTCCAGGGTCTGGCCGATGCGTTCATCCTGATGCGGTATCCTTTCGACAGCCCGGAAGCGATGGATCTGAACAGCAAAATCTTCGAAACCATCTATTTCGCTGCGTTGGAAGCAAGCTGCGAGCTCGCGGAAATCCACGGAACCTACGAGACATACGCCGGCTGCCCCGTCTCAAAGGGGATTCTGCAGCATGACATGTGGAATGTCAAGCCATCCGACCTCTGGGACTGGGACGGTCTTCGGAGAAAAATCGCCCAGCACGGAATCCGGAATAGTCTGCTGCTGGCGCCCATGCCCACAGCATCAACGGCTCAGATCCTCGGCAACAACGAGTCCATTGAGCCGTACACGAGCAACGTGTATGCCAGACGAGTTCTCTCCGGTGAATTCCAAATCGTCAATCACCACCTCCTGAAGGATCTCACCGACTTGGGCCTCTGGAACGAAACGATGAAGAACGAGCTTGTCGCTAGCAACGGTTCCGTGCAGAATCTTGATATCCCTGATAAATTGAAACAACTCTACCGGACCGTTTGGGAACTGCCTCAGAAGAACATCATCAAAATGGCGGCTGACCGTGGGGCGTTCATCGATCAGAGCCAATCTCTGAACATCCACTTCGCCGAGACCAACTTCGGGAAGCTCACGTCGATGCATTTCTACGGCTGGAAACTCGGTTTGAAAACCGGGATGTACTACTTGAGAACGAAGCCCGCCGCCCAGGCGATTCAGTTCACTGTCGACAAAACCAAAATCAAGCAGAAGAACGCCGAGGCCATGGTCTGCTCTCTGACAAATAAAGATGCCTGCCTGAGCTGCTCGGGTTGATGGGAAAACTCGACAGAGGCGCAAGACCCCGGTCCCTTTCCTCGCTCAATTTCCCAGCCGAACTCGTGGGGAAACCTTGCGTTCGGAATGACCGTAGAGATCTCTAATCAGTGAATCTGGGATGGATAATTCAAGAATGGTCACCACGTCCGATATGACAACGGCTCAATAAAAAATATGATTTTTTATGGCCTCGAGAATTGACTACGAAAAGTTTTCTCCCTAATGGATTCCTATGAGCAGCCCGCACATGATCCTGATTTTCATACCAAGTTTCGTTTTCCTACTTAAGCTCCCACCATATGCATGCAGATCTCCGCATACGTTTTCGATCAATGCTTGAAAACGGAGGATATTTTCTCCGTCGAAGAACGATCGCATGATTACATTCATATTCCGAGTAGCGTCAAGAGCATCTCCCGGCAGAGAAGTTTCGGAGCTCCGAGGTTTCAGTGTACAAAACATAGGGGATTTATTACGGTAAAAGTTCCGAAGATCAAACTCGGATACTCTTTATCCTATGACAGACCTAATACCCATCGAGTTCCTCCCTCTTTGAGAGGAAATAACTTTTGAACATTTCGTAGGTACTAATCATGATAGCGCAAGCTGGCGCAGTCTTAACGATCCGAGGGACCATTCCTGCGAATAGTCCTGGGATCCCTTGCTTCTGATATATGTCTCCTAACATCGCTAGCGGATTCGAAATCAGGATTCGTCCATGGGCTTGTGACAGCTTTTCTCCCAACTCGATTTGTCTGAAAGGAAATCACTGTATGATATCGGCCGCTACCGCTACGATGGGGCAGCACTTCGGAGGTTCATCGACGACTCGAAACCCGAGAACTTGCGTGAGCCGAGAGGATCCGTAGTTCACTAGACATACCTGTGCGTTTTGACGACGTCAAAGGGCAGCGTGACGATCGCTGCTACCGTACCCCCCATGGCTCCAGCACTGATGCAGAACTTCAGAGGCGGATCAGAATCGGGTGGAACGAATGTGGCCTTCAAACTCTCGTAACAAGCCCAATAGAGACAGCTGAAGGGCACGTCCCGCAGAAGTGTAGACGACAGGCCTGGAAATTCGACCGTCGGGCAATAAGTCTCCGTGTCGCTCCTTCCTCGCCACGTTCGAATCGGATGAATAACTTACCGAGGTATAGAGAACGAACGCCACGTGCTTGCACCATTTCCTGGACAGCTCTGATGAGCTGTCCGTACGACATTTTTTGGGACTGGAGTTTCGTCCGACACATCTCCAGGGGGGAGATGGCCGTGACAGTAGCCAGACGCGCCGCGGCTCCGGCCGTGACAGCGCAGCCCACAGTGGACTCGATTAGCTGCGGAGAATGAAAAGTCTTCAGAGGAATGTGGATGATGCGCGAAGCTTCAATGTGTTCCGGATCAGAAACGGCAGACCCCGCTCACCTTGTTCCTCTGGATCCTATATTTAATAGTCTCGTATGTTGCGAAGTAGATTACAGTAGCGGGTACCGCCATGAGAAGGGTTGGCGGCAAACCGGACCACAGGGAACCGACACCCTCGTGTCGCGCGATTTTCACCAAAGCATCGGTGGTTCCTGTTGGAGGATCCCCCGTCAGGTTTTACCAAGAAACTCTATCGCGAGCTCGATAGGCTGATGAATATCGTAAACTTGAGTCCTCCCGGAGATGTCAGGGCTCACCTTTCAGAGGAGCCTGGTGCCAGAGTCGGTCTCCTCCAGGACAGACACAAACTTGCTCAACGAGAACATTGCAGTACGTCAAACAGCGGTTGTGGAGGAGAGCTTTCTGTTGAGATTGCAGTCGAACTTTCACCACGTCGAAAGGGGTCATGAATAACGCTGTGGCCACGGCGCCCGAGCTGGACGCGATCACTCTTTGACCGGTAGAAATGTCCCGATTGGGCACCACCGGGGTGGACATTCTACACGGAACAGAGAAAAAGATATCCTAAATTGTGAGACAGAATTTCCGACTATTTTGACAAGAAGGACATTTCCAGAGAGGCAGATATGATTCCAGTCTCGGCGTAGCTCACGGGAGGCAACCAGCTAATAATTAATTCTCGTACCGTGACCTCCGTCGCGATTCGATGTCATGTGAGACAGTCACGACTACACTTCACTACTCGGTTTTCCATCGGGGAAAATGCGCCGATGGTCAGTTGGAGCGGCATTCGAGATCCCTTAGGAGAATCATTGATCCGCTTCCATACAAATAATTCAAAACCGATATGCGCGTATCGAAACCGGTATCTTTTCCAGTACCTCGTATCTTCAGACACTGCCGGCTTACACGCCGAACCCGGCCAGAATGGAAGCGGATCGATCTACCTAAATGAATCAGAAGGACTTCGCTCATCTCAAATCGATTTGCTAAATCAATCACCTGATCATTCTGATGGCAGATACGTTGCTCCGAGATTTGCTTCGACTCGACCTTCCGCGCGCGATCTCAATGTCGGGGTGGCAACTCCACGAAATCCGACTCAAGTCGTTCCACTACGCTCGGCCTCATGGTTCTTCATTCACGACAAGGTCGTATACCTTTGAAAAAATCAACAATAAACTAGGGAAAACCGCACGGACTGGGTCGTCTTCCCCTCCGCATGGAACGCCGCCATCTTTGTTTATGTTCGCGCAGTACAGGTGCTCTGACCAACAGCCGAATGAGGAATACGGCTTGAGCGATTGCGGAGGGATTCCTTGACTGGGAGAACTCAGAGGAAAACTCCGCGCGGGAGTCAAAAGAACTCAGGGTTGGTCAGAAAGGAATATGTCGAAATGGGATTCGAGACGTTGTGTCGATGATCTTTGACTTCATCCAGGTCGTTCTTGGGCGGTCCTGTCGGCGATGGTTGCCGGTGCATATGTTTCGTGTGGTTGAGGGTATGTCGCATATAGCAGCCTGTGTAGACGAAGACAAAGTGAGAGAAGTCCTTCTGGACCGGCAGCAGCTCGGTGCGGATCGGAATGTTCCAGAATATTACCGATGAGGCTGATGAGGTCAGTTATCTCCGCAAGGTTCCCGATCGTAGTCAGTCTCTTCCCACACAATCGCACTGCTCCCCGGCATTAGATTCTTGCGAGGAGCTTCAATGCGATCGAAAGACACCGTCCTTCATTAAGCCATGAGTCGACCGGCGGAAACAAGCCCTGGTCTTCTGCAGCAGCGCGAGTCTTCCTTCGATGACGCTTCAGCTCCTCCATGGGTGTCACTTCGCGGTTCTGCAACACTGGAGACGTCTCTTCATTTTGACTTCGCCCTTCGAGGGACTCGACCGATGACCAGCCGTTGCGGAGGCATTCCCGCACGGAACTCTTATAGGACGAGGGGCGTCGTGGCCGTATCTGGACTTCGGTTACAACTCATAACTCATCCTTACTGCGGATCGGCCAAACTCTTCCGGAGGAACTTTGGCGAGGTCTGAGAAGTCAATGAATAATGATGCGCGCTCGTTCACCTCTTCCCGACCGATCAAAGGGATCAAACATGCGGAACACGGAACAGACCGGGGGCCATTCGGATGCTGGGGCTTCGGTTCGGAGGGACAGAGTAACATGCGGGATTGCGGAATCAATCGCTACTGAGGCTTTCCGCGCACCGATGATCTCGACCGACGTCGCCAGGGAAAGCCTCAACTTGAGCGCCACGGCCAAAATTCTGGACGTCGGCTTTGCCACGGGGCCTATCTGGGCCGGAAAGTCATTCGTCTGGGGTACGAGGATACCGACGGCATAGATTTCCCTCATGAAATGATATTTTCGGCAGAAAGGGAGGAAGGCTCTGCGAGCTCAAAGAGGAGTCGCCGGAGGCCGGAGCTCAAAAGAGCTGTGGCGCCCGAGAATGTGAACGGTTGTTGTGATCTAATCACTTTCTGCTCATCTAACGCGATGGGTCACATATCGCCACCTTGCATTCCATTGTTCCAATCCGTTATGAACAAGAATGCGAACCTCGGGTTTGCCATGTTTCAACCGGCTGGCGATTAGAGATCGGGGGCGTCATTGATCGAGTTCCGATCGAGTGATTGCGATCCGTTTCCTCAGCTGCACCTTGTCCTGCAGCCAATGGGTTCGCCGTTCGAAGCCACGGAGTTCCTCGACCACATGTGCCGGGAGATTTCTTTGAGGTTCATATCGCTCGGATACGTGTAGAACTGCGCCGATTGACTACGATTCCATAAATATTGCTGACAGTTGCGAGGTCGGGGCTCTTTGCTTCTATCGAATCGGGTAGCGTACCCCTGGCTTGAGGCTTCGAATATCTTTCGTCCGTGGTGCGCTCTTATCGCGGGGAAGAAGATACTGTATGATGCGTCCCGGAGGTCACCACGCCCTCGAGTGGAGGGGTATCTCATCGTCCTGATAGCCTCTGGGCTACTTGGGATTCGGTCCCGAAAAAATCATCGCCAAAGAAATTCTTCAGGGGTGAGGCATCGAAAGATTCCATTGAGATATCGAATATCGCAGCGATTGGCTCGTAATAGGAAGAGCGACCGTCAGCTGTGGGAGACTTGAATAAAAGACGCGTATTATTGCTCAGCTGTCCACAGTTATTCCCTAGCGCGGACGATACTAATGATCTCTGAACGCCGTGGTCGATGCCTCATATCACATATCGAGTGAGCCCTGTAGAGTTATCGTTAAATGCCCATCTCGAGCCGGATCGCGTGCCTTCGGAGAAGCACTGCCACAAATGGCGACTTCATCTTTCCATCCTTTCCGCGGTCTCCGTCATCACGCTCTTCTTGAGCTACCATTGCCTATGGGATCACCCCGGTAAGGATCCATTTGCCATATTCATATACCTGGCCTGGTATTATTACAAGAAAGGATCTCTAGGCCGTGCGCGAGGTATTCATTCATGGAATAGTACCCAAAGTTACGGAATACCCAAAGCACCGGAAAACTCGCGTTGGCTTCGTTTCGGATCGGGAACCTTTTTTCGACCCTATGCCGGCATCGACTACTACGAAATGAAGTGAAACCTTGAGACTGGCTCGATTTGCTCAGCCGGTCGTAGATGACTCAAGCCGGGGTCGATTTGCTCCGGGACCTTATGACGCGAGCTCTGAGAATGGGGTGCGACCCTTCATCAGAGAATAGAGCTCATCCGAATTAGGGGACTACAGAGTCACCGCAGTATCCAGCCTCCCTGAACCCTTTCCGAGAGAGACATTGTTGCGAAGCTTCTTTACTCTGCCCCATTCGTTCGAGAGCGCCGAGCGAGTTATCATGAGGTTCCACGCGTGTGTTTTCCCCTTGTTGTTTTCGGTGGTTTTCGCCGCACATGATTCCCGTCACCCGTATAGGGGTGACAGGAAGTCCCTATCGGCGGTTGGATTCGCGTCTTACGGAGCAGAAGTGCAATCATTCGGAGGTTACAACGGTCGAATGCCGGTTTTCGGCTACGGCCTCGATACGCGTCCAACGCATTTCTGTGAGTACCCAAACACCTGACCGCATCGGAGGGAGTGAATTCCCTGTCGAGCTCATCAGCGCGACCTCGCAGCCTCTGATTGTCGCTCTTAAGGACATCTGCCGGGAGTAAAAAGCCGAGGCTGCTCCCCAGCGAAACCGGAGTCGCGAGAGGTTCCTTTTAGCGAGATCGTCCGCCTATCCATCCCACTCATAGAGCTCGATGTTTCCCCCAGTGCGTAAGCGTGACACCGGCTCTACGTCGAAACGAGACGCGGAATCTTCGGTGGTGGAAGCGGTGAGCTCCTTGCTCTACCGAAATGATACCATGTGCTTGGGTCTCGCCGTCTGCCAGGATGCTCGTGAGAACCCGAAATCTGCATCATTGCTGAAGGAAGCCTTCAGCGCAACGGATTTCCTACAGGTGAGAGAGTTATCGACCGTGTACCGATACAGCGGTAGGAAGCTCAAGGAGAGTCCCCGGAGAAGGAACAACCGTTCATCCAGTTTGACGTCGCTCCACTTTTCAGGGAGTCAATTTTGTGCAATATGCGGTCGCTCAGGCTAACTTCCCCCAGGAGACCTGTGAAGAGGCTTTCCAACCATGCGATACCATCGCACCAGCTCTGCAGAAAGCCCTGATCGAAGTCAAAAATTCACTCACTAACTAATCTGAAGGAACAGGCGGATAACCGAGCTTTCAGCATCTGCCATTCCTCGGCATCGGGTCTCCTGTTGTTATATTTCTGAATAAATGACTTATCGGAAACGATATCTGTCTTACTCTCATCTGTATCTGACATGGATCAGCGGTCTGTTCCAGAAATATCCCGTCGTCTACGCTCCCGGTTCCCGACTCGTTCCCCTCGGATAAGCTCCGCTTACACTGACTTCTCCTACCCAGGTAGCGTTCCCTCACGAAGCGCGCGAGGAAAGTTTCGCGATGCCTCCTCCAGACATTCCGACGGTACATTACTTCCAGCTCGACCCGGTGGTTTCGAGAAGACCATCTGAGGAGCGTAGCGCGCTCTTTCCGGATGCCGCGCCGTCCTATTCGACGGAAGAGGCCCTTCCAGCGCGGAATCGCGCTGCCGGATTAAGTACCTTTTGATCACACGACACTCCCCCTCCATTGTTCGAACACGCCGCTGAGAGCGACAGAGCGAGAGGCAGAAACCGCTTGGTCAGTCTTCGAGAGGATCGAGCCCGGCTGACTTTCCGAATTTCAGCTCTTTGCCGTGCTCGGATAAGAATTCCGGGTGGATTATTGAGCTGATCATTTTCAATATGGGCAGATTAAACGATCTCGATGATCTTCGTCTTTCGTTAGGGTTTCCGAGGTTTGGGATGATCCGCTTCGGATCCGATTCCAGTTCTAGATGCTCAGCTTTCCCGGAACGAACGTTACCCCTTCCTATGCATCATCAAGGTCGATTGGTGCCGAACCGTCGTGAAACCTTAGGAGAGCGATTGACATCGGTCGAACGGTCGCGGGACGTCCCCAAGGTCCTCAACAAACGAATGAATCTCATACGGATGGTGATTAGCCCCGTTGTCCTCATCCCGTCTGATTCGTCCAACTGAGCGGATTTCGGATCATCCTTATGGGTAACCCCTATCAAACTCTCATTCGAAGCGCGGCAGGAGAGCAGATGGATATTCAGCGACGCACCTCAATTAAGACTCTTCCCCCGAAGATGAGAATCAGAATTCAGTCTCGAACGATTCGACGCTCGAATTCGATGCTGTTTGACGTTTCCATGCATGATCGCGCGGCGTTTATGGAACAGCGAATACTTCGGTTCGATCAGCTCGTGCTGCGATGAAATTATGCCCCGACATATGCGTCACGGTATCGCTGATGGGACCTCCAGATATTCTGGCGAGATGGGCCACGACCTGTTGTTGGATGTTCGATTCTTGAGAACAGCCAGGGAAGACGGGAGGCGACCGAAAGAACCGAGTCTCGGGTCTCTAGGCCGGGCGAGTTCATCCTTGACGGCAGGAGTTCGAGTTCAAAAGGGGAAGCTGTGAATCCAGGCTTCTTCATGAATATTGATTAGCGCTGGAAGCTAATTTCCGAGATTTCGGGAGCAAAACTATAATCATCTTTTCGAATCGAAGGCACGCGAGACGCGACCCCGCTCCTAGGCTCAAGGACGCTCGCTCAATTGAGCCGATTCGCAGCTGTTCGCTCAAGCCCTCGAGCGAGGAATATTCGCGTGCGCTCTTCTCTTATAGATTCTCTGTTCAGATCTTGAACAGGCGCTCGCTCGCCCCTTCGGCTGCCGGTTTTCGGCGGCGCGACAGCCGCCATCGCGCGGGCTGTTTTGCTGGAGCCGTTTCTGGAGGAACGAAATAGCGCGAACTTGACAGAAGAGCACCTGCTCTTTCGAAAATCCAATGTTCACAGAAGGAATAATCGGTTGTGACGACAACCCCAGGACTCGAAATGACGAGAGCCAAGCAGGCGACGACCGGCGCCGGATATCGGTGTTGTTTTCGTAAGTTCTCCTTGCCCAAACGAGCGGCCCAGCTCGATCGTTGGCCCGCCAATCTGTGAGCAGTCTTTCCGGAGATGGTAGTGGGCCACCATCACGACCCCTCCCCCCTCCTTGTTTGTGCGTCGTAGCGCATCGGACATCCACCGCCGTTCATTCTCCATCCAGAAAACGGCCGAACGATAAAAACGAAAGTCGCTGCGCAGTGGCGGAGAACTCCTCTTCAGAGAACGAACCGCCAAGCATGCACCCGCTGCCTGCCCGCGCGGCGGCCTGTCCGTACCGCGACCGTTCTTCCAGTAGCTTTCCGTTTTCCTTCGTGTTCGTACCGTCGGCGCCAGTGCCGCTCGGGCAGAGTGCGCGCGCGCGTTGTCTCGCGGCGGCGCAGCGGGCATGGCTTGACAGGGCGGTCGCCGAAAAGCCATTCTCCGTAATATTTATTTGCCCTCTCTTCCTTCACGTTCACTTGGATCCGTTCATTTCATGGAAATGAAGGATGTCAAGCGCGGGCACGGTCGAATATTCGGTCGAGAGTCGAATACTTGGGTCGCTTTCGGGCCGAACCACCACCACGAGAGCGGTGACCACGTTTTCCGCAGCGAGGACGTGAATGACCCTTAAAGAGCTCCCGGTGTCCGGGTGCCGCAGCGTGGCGCCACCATCGGACGTTACAGGCGCTCGGAGCAAAACACGGCGAGAGAGCTGGAAACTTGAGTGCGCAGTCAGTGAGTGAGTGAGCAGGGAGCAGCGAGTGTGAGGTTGTTGTTTATACAAATGCGGACTCTTTTACTGTGACGACGACGACCACACGAGCGTGTTGTGTCGCTTTCCCATCGCGATATCAACTCTGTTTCGCGGCAAGCGTGGAGACAGAAAACTGAACTAAATGTAGTTGCCTACACGAGACAACGTACTCCAGCAGCAGCAGCAGCGGCAGATCTGCCTTCGGCCGATCGTGGTGTGGTGGTGGTTTTCGACGACGACAGCTACCAGGCAGGCCTCAACCATAGATTTCCGAGTTCGTTTCACCGAGCAGTCCCTTGTCCAGCTTCGTACGCGAACGCTCAGAGCAAGGGGGAAAACAAAACACATAACTGTGGCTTGACAGTTTGTTTTCTTGTTCACGCGCCAGTTACCCGTTCATACACTGGCATCATCATCCTCGGCACCGCAGAAGGAATTACTAAGGAACAGAAAATTATAAGTGATCGAATTTGAGGACAGGAGCGACCTCGAAGGGAAACATTGACTTGGTGAGCGACAGAAGTTCGCAGAAAATTCGGGAGCGTCGTCAACCCTTCCGTTGGTTTGCGCCGTCCATTCGCTGATAGGGGCGAGTACAACAACAAGACGCAATTATTGATGCATTAGGTGGCAGCAGCGCTGAACGGGTGAAGATTATCTGTCGTCTGTCCACTCGAGATGCAAGAACCCCTCTCAAATAAACAACGGACCCTTCCGTTGACAGATTGAATTCAAACCGACGAATTACCGCTCTGCGTTTGACGATCGGCACGAACGAACGAATACGCGCCGAAAACTGAGTAAGTTGTTTGGCAGAAGGGTGCGACCAGGTAGTGCCAGTGAGACGCGCAAGAGCTTCTCGGATGTCTCAAACAGGGCGCAACGTGCCACTGCTGTTGACTCCACGATCAAGTAGCGTGTTCTGATGCGACTTTAGCGACTGCCGTCTCTTGTGGGCATTCGGTTGAAATTTCGCTCGAAAAATCCGCTTCCGTACGCTCGGGTTCCGATTTGCGATCTGGCACGAGTTTCTCGAATTTGTGCGCGTGTTTCCAATCCCCGTTTTCTACTTCAGCGCGTCGAGCCGCGGAAAGGATACTCGGCATCAACCTAATCCAATCGTATCGTCGATTCCCGCGTATTGGTGTCCTCGACTGATTGAGTGAAACAGTGAGTGAAAATCATCGGAAAACGTGCGTTCATCACCAAAGCCGCCGTCAGCAGCAGGATGAGCTCGAACGCCGCCGATATCGCGGCAGGCCAAGCGAAGGCCACTCTCACGGCTCAGACTGAAAAGCCTATCCATTACACGTGAGTACCGTTACGATAATTTGCGTCGACCATCTGAAGCCGACTCGGATTTTCTCTGAAGTAAATGATGTCGAGCTCGGCCGCCCGCTCTTGGATTCCAAACCTCTCCCGCGGAGATTGAGGTGAAATCCGAAGGAGCGTTCGCGATCTCATGTATCAGGATGGTTCCAATATGAGAACGATCGATAAGCTCCACTAATCGCTGCGCGCTTCCGAGCGCGAGTTCGATCCTTGTAGTAGATTTGGTTCCGCCGCACGACCGACACGAATTTCAACAAACACAGGCGGTGAGGAATGAGCATGGAGATAATCAGCATAGCATTGACGGTGACGACCTCGGGCTGACAGAATTCACAGAGAATATTCTCGTTCGATATGTTTGCACGAATTATCCTGGAAGACTATTGCGCTGTTGGGAAAAATCCAACCGGACGCAATAATCAAATTTGAGACCCGCGAACGGAGTATGACTCATTCAGGGGTCTAGTCCGTGTCTTGGCATTTCGTGCGCTAACGTGGCGACGCAGGCCATACATACCGCTGGTCTTATTGCTGTGCTCTTTGCAACCGGTGCTCCCTCAGTTCTCGCCCGCGTCATCTCGGCAAAGTTTCGGAATGCGCTCCAGCTGAAAGTCGACGAATCTTAGCCGTTCTCGTTCGCTATTCGTTTCATCGTCGAGAAACCATGCGCTTCAGATAGGGGGAGGGATATGGAGTCCACGACGATGACGGTAAATGCTGGAATATTGTCGTGAGTAGATTGAATATCGACTCTGAGTGGAACCACCGCGTTGGCTGGCCGAATATGGCTCACAGGAAACCATTGGTCTCTGACACCCTTTCTCACGATATTTCGTAAGGTGTCGCTCATCTGGAATATGAGGACCTCTCACGGAAAGACCACGGGGTGGACCTAGCGATTCGTCTTCGTTTTCCACGCGAGCCCGTGCTCCATGTCGCATTCACGGAATGACGGCAGATGTTGCGTCAGAAAACATTTACGTTTAGAGGAAGTCGGTGTTCTCGCAGCTTCGTGGAGCGAATGATTTTCGACGTCGATATGTCGGGTCAAGCGACCATCTGTTCTATCGCGTCGTGTGGATATAAATGTAACAACAACATTAGCTTGACGGTCTTTCAACCCTCGTCTGTGAGGAATGAAATTTTGAAAGAGGCTTTCCTGGGTAAAACTATCCAACTCATGGAAAGTCTGATCAAGTTGCGCATTTGTCGTTAATTCATTGCTTCGAGAAAGCAGCCGATCTCAGGCATCAACATCGGCGCGAAAATATCGAATGCCGCCCTAAATCTATTAGAATGCGTCACACTCGAGTTCAGCTATTCCGCATGTCGGAGCCGTTAAATGGAACGCGGAGTATTTATTTCGCAAGCGAGACGGTCTCGTAGAACAAACTGCTCTCGGACGTCCGGCGGAATGCTGTTGGTCATTAAACTACTCTCGATTCGTGGCGCCGAGTCCGCGTATTCACCCAAGCCCTTTCCTGAACGGCGTTGCAGCAAATCGCATCTGTCGCCGAATGCCTCGGTGTTATCCTAGCGGCTCGTTTATTTTCTCCATTTCTACTATCTGCATGCTGTGTGCCGTGTTTGGGGAAAGCATCTGCCACTGCAATGCGGGGCACCACTCAATAGGGCCTCGGCGCTCTTAATAATACATGATGCCTGGGCTGAAACTTACTCCTTCCACGAATTGGAGGATGGTCTCAACGAGACCGGGCAGCCCATGCTGATTGAAGGGTTGCAGTCACAAGTTTCCCGGGACATTCACGACAGCGATGCGGAGGAGCCAATCGGAGCTCCGAGGGAGATTCGCGCGTAAAATTCAATTGTTGGCAGTGAAGTTCGCTGTGTGTCGGCTCCTCGTTAGCGACCGATCGGTAGCGTCCGAAGGCAATAGCATGGGATCCTGGTCCGTCGATTCCGCGCCAAGTTGCGGGCGACGTCGTTTGAAGATGTCTGTTGCCGGCCTGTTGTTGTTCGTCTCAAGTAGCGGAGAAACGCTCTTCAGGAGGACCACCGTCTTTTCAAGGTCGTTCAAAGTCGCTTCGGGTCACCCCTTCCCTGATCCAAGTAGTAAATAACCAACGCCTAGGAACAAAAGCGCTCCGACGATACCGCTGCGGATCGTCCGATCCCAACGCTCTATGCGTGAGCATCGAACCCGCTCTGGGTATTATTGCGGTCTTAGGAGCCCACGGAAGCCGACCAGCACAAATGTGCGAGCTGAAATATTCCTGAGAACATCGCGAATGTGAGATATACATTTGTTAGCGAGCAGCACGTTGGATTCGATATGGATTCCGCTAGCGACTCGGCAAAGAAACAGCGCAGCGAGGCAACGGCGCGGCGTTGTTTGGATCGTGGTCGGATCCAGTGCTAGCAGGATGTTCGGTGCCAAGTTTGTGCCGTTCCAGAAATTCGTCCGATTGAAAATACAACAACAGAACACAAAACATACGCGTTCCTCTCCTTCTCCGGGAGAAGGTAAAAACGAGCTAACTCAAAACATTTTCTGATACTGCGGCCAACTAGTTTGAACGAGGGAACGTTTCAAACTCTTTCCAAGCAAAAAACATCTGGGGACTTGGAACGTTGGCGGAGGTCTCTCGAGAGTTTCTGGTTTGTTTACCCATTTGTTGGTTTGCTTCGATTTGATGAGTCAAGCTAGACGGCTCGCCACAGGGGGAAGCTTCATGATGTACTGGAAAACCGCTCGAAGTCGAAGGTTAACTCCTGTGTTTCGGGTCTAGTCACAGGATTTTATTTCATTTGCGATTTGCTCGCTACAGTGCATTGCCGCTCGCGAGATTCACGAGACTAATTCTCGATGCGCATCGTCCAAGAATATGATGAATTATATCGCTCTCGGTCTATTAGCGGCTGCTCGTCTCCATCTGTTTCAATGAGGGAGCGCCAGCGGGTCAACTCGGTACGAGGGCATTAATGCCAGATCTGTTCCCAAGGCCGGACAATTCCCAAGTCCGAGACCAGGATCCTTCTGACACCTCTCCCGAAGCTGATATAAATGACGAACATTATTTTCGTGACTGTATGTGATCCTTCTCCCGCAGTCGCTCACATCTCGAGTATTGAACTGATTAGCTTTCCTTTCACTCTCAGATACCTCAAAGAATTCCGCGTGGAACAGTGTCCGCAGTTCCTGCAGCATAAATGTACGCAGCACAAGCCTTTCACCTGTTTTCATTGGCACTTCATGAACCAGAGGAGGCGTCGACCCATTCGAGACCCGAAGTCAAAAAGTTTCAACTATTCACCCGACGTCTACTGCACCAAATACGATGAAACCACCGGGATCTGCCCTGACAGCGATGAGTGAGTATCCGGGTCGAGTTCATGTCATCGATTGCTCAGAATTCTCCCGGAGCGAAAATCGTGGATGACGTGAGACACCTTGAGGGGGATACGCTCGAGGCAGTCTCTCCGTCTTCGGGGGTGGGAGTTGAGAAAATTGCCTCAATGGATCCTTAGAGACATTGTTGCTATGGAAAAGGAAGAAAACGTCTCTCTCGTCCTTCCCCAGGTGTCCTTTCCTCCACCGCACGGCCGGAGACACGGAACGGCGATACCATTTGCGCTACTACAAAACAGGGATCTGTGTCTACGACACGGACGCCCGCGGCCACTGCGTTAAGAATGGACCCCACTGTGCGTTTGCGCATGGCCTCCACGACCTGAGGAACCCAGTGTACGACATTCGGGAAATTCAGGGAAAAATTCTTAGTGAGGATGGGAGCGAGATCGACGCCAATGGTGTCCTGGTGCCCAATCTCGACAAGGACCGCAACGCAGTCAGTGAAGACCCCCGGTGGCAAGACACCAACTACGTGCTCGGCAACTACAAGACCGAACAATGCAAAAGACCTCCGAGGCTCTGTCGCCAGGGCTATGCGTGTCCACAGTATCACAATTCTCGGGATAAGCGAAGGCCCCCTCAGAAATTCAAGTATCGAAGTACTCCCTGTCCAAACGTGAAACAGGTAGGCAGTTGTAGAGAGTCTGTTCTTCCGATACCATCTGCCTCGTTGGAACTCACATGCTCTCATCGACCGCAGTTCGCAAATAATCTGTTGTATAATTTATGCGCACAACAAATTCGATCTGAGGTAGTTTCCCAAAAGCTATCCTTCATTTCCCTAGGGAGACGAATGGGGAGACCCAGCTCACTGCGATAGCGGAGATCAGTGTACGTACTGCCACACACGTACCGAGCAACAGTTTCATCCTGAAATCTACAAATCCACAAAATGCAATGACATGCAACAAACATCGTTCTGCCCCCGGGGGCCCTTCTGCGCTTTCGCCCATGTAGACAGTAAGTTACCCCCCCCCTGCCCTGACTCTCTCTTCCTCGCCTTCGAATGATGTTCCAGAGATTTAACGACGAAGCTCGGGATCTTTGACGGGGAGCTCAGATCAGGAGCTCCGACGGTTCTCATGAGAGCTAAGACTTGCTTCTGTCTTTATAGAAGAAATGAGTGCTGTCCGCGAAGTAGGATCGGACGCTACGAATTTGGCCACTATCCTTTCAAACGTACTACCGCAGTCACCCTCACCCGGAGCGAACAAGCCTGTAAGTATTTTGGTCTCTCAGAGTCCTGCCAGTCCATCATCAAGGTCATGATCGATGAAGCGACCAATGATCCGAAAGTCGAGAATAACGCGCGGAGTTTCTCTCCTTGTTCCTCCAGGAAAACGGTCAGGTTATGTCGTCTATGGGACCAGACTTGGTAGCGTTTAACAGTATGGGACCAATCGGACGGCCTCGCTCCTACAGCACGTCTCACGCAGCAGCTGTACAACATCATTTGCAACTCAAAGTGAGTGGACCGATTCATCCTCGGCATCCAAGAATGTTGCTGACAATCAGACTCAAGCCGCCCCATCGAGGAAGGCTTCGCTAATTTCCCCCTATTTCTGTTCCTCGAAAACAGACTATGGAGTCGGCGCTCCCGCATTATCAGAAAGCGCCGGGATGCGAGCGGGAAGAACACAATGCCATGCGCAAGCATCGCGCAAAGACGATGGACGGATCGGCTAAGGAATGGGCATCTATTGCGAATAGTTATAGTTTTCCCAACACGGTCGAGTCCGTTGTCAATAAGGCGCTGGACGACCTCAACCTGGAAGAGATTGACGTAGAAGCGTGTCTCGACAAGGACCTAGTGGAGGAGTGCTCCAACTCAAATCCTATGGCGTCCTCTCTCAACCAGGCGCTTGTCAGTTCTGGCTTTATCCCCAACCCCAATGGATTGCCCAATCCCAACGGAATCCCGAACAGTCAACCTGTTAACATTCCCGGGCGAGAGAGGTGAGCTGCTTTCGGTTTCGCTTCCTCTGGAGTGTCAGTGGAGGAGATACGGACCAGACGTTGCCCGACCGGGTTCGAGAGCGAGTTTTCGCTGCGTGAAGGTTTCATCAAATGCCATTTTCGTTTCAGGCCCGCGTCCCCACCTAGCTCCATGGGCGGTTCAATCGATAAATCTGCCGCAGCGTTTTATGGCTCACCTTTCAATGCCACCGGATTCGGAACGTACAGTGGAGTCGGAGCCACTCAACCGTCGCAGTCACCCTCTACTCGTCTTTGGGAAACGAATCAAGGTCTCAATGGGCATTTGACGAATTGGAGCGATTCGCAACTCGCCCAAATCAGAGCCGTACGTGACCTTGAGTGTTTTCTCTCGCGTAGCATTTAATTATTCCGAGAAGAGGACATGGAGAACGTCTGGTGGACTTCAGTCACCCAGTTCGAAATTCCCACCGGATAAAAGTCCGTCCTGGTAATTGCAGGTTTGTGAAACATACAAGAACCAGGCTGAGGAAGCCATGCGGCGCGAAAAAGTTGCTGAGCAGCAGAGGGACGACGCTATCCGGGAGCTGCAGAAACTGCAAGTAGATATTCAACAAAGGCCATTTGGTCTTCGTTCGGTGGATCTCGACCAGCTGTCTCCTCAGCAAATCCGGGTGCTGCAGGAACAGTTGCGTTCAGATCTAGATGCTCTCGACAAAGTCAGCCATCTGCATCAACAACAGCAGCAACAACAACATCAGCAGGACAGACTACGGATGGGTCTGCAGATGGGTGCTCACCACCTCCCCGACCGAGATTTCTGGACCCCGCCTGGACGAGGCCACTGTTGAAGCACTGAGGTATAGATTCCGGCTAGAATCGGAGATCGTGCGAGAAGAGTCCTCTCAGAAAAGATGATACAATGTCGTAGATTACATCGGACTACAATACGGACACGAATCGAATGACCAACCGAGCAGAGAAGCAATGTGTGAATAACAAGGCTCCGGAAGCACAATTCAAGGTATCTTTCGAACGGCTCGGGTGCACCGGAAGAGACATAGGAGGGACATGAAATTTTCGGGTAAACTCTCGACAGGGCACAACTAGCGGAAGCTTGAAACGAAAGACATCACTCGATTGACAATAGCTATTACGGAATGAGCAGCCAGGCGTGAGGAGTCGTGGAACGTCTCGGCCCACGAACAAGCTCACGGATGATTGTAGATGCTGAACGCGTATACAACGGAATTTGATGAGATGGAAGAGAGTACATGAACGAGGAAATCACAAATTTTCGTTCCAATCGGTCTCCGTATCGTTTTAGAATCCATTTCAAATTATGCTCCCGTATCTCTCAACCTTCACGGTTGGAACTATTTGGCTATTCGCCAACCGAGGCTACCTATGTAGAAGACCCGGTACCTATCCTAGAGCAGCTCCTAATTCTCCATCTCCTAAAGTCTTTGATTTTCCGATCCTCCCATCGGATCGTTTCCCGTCTTTTGTTTAGGCTTTTTTCATTGTTGCTAGAGTATTCTATTTTAGAAATTGTTCAATTATTACTCCTCCGTTTCCGGGAGACAATTAGGTTTGAAACTTTTTCGATGGTTTCAAATTAGAGAATGAAATGTTCAATAAATTTGTCCATATTGGAACACTTATGCGTAAATTACCTTTTGTTCTGAATTCTCCTGTGTTTCTGCCTCATATCAAAGCTCTCGATTTGTTTCGTATTCATGTACGCATATTCTCGCCATTCCAAGGCTTTTTTCGAGCAAGTATCTATCACCTCCAAATCTCCGATCCTCTTTCGAGACCTTATTTTTAACCTTTACGGCTGTTTTCGCCGCTTCCTGTATGTAAATACATGATATACGAACATGGGCTCCTAGGCGAGATCTTCGCATGAGGGTCGCGTCCGGTAGATTCGCAAGCGGAGAGTCAGAAGTAGTTATTTCAACCGGAGGATTCAGTCAGAGTAGCCACTCGGCCCAGAAGTGCAATCAGTCGATTTTCGGCGGATTCCGAAAAGACATAATTCTTACTCAGAACTTCTAATATTTCCTCCGGAAGCTTGTTCCCGAGTATCAATATTCTTCATGATCAAGGAGGGGTTATCGCGAGAGTCGCCACGTTCAAGCGAGGATGATCGGACTACTCCAGAGATTTGGTGTGGGAATGCGATGGGGATCTCGGCCAGCCCCTGCTCGTTGAAGAAAACAGCGTTGGTGTTCCTTACTCTAGATTATAGATCGAATAAATTATGAACACTGGATGATTATGTCGACAGCATCGTCGGCAGGAACTGTTACATACGATGCTATGAGCAATGCATATGAGCCTCGTACTCGAGAGCTCGAAGACCGACCTGCTCGGAATAATAGATGGTACATATTCGAGAAAAACCGTAGCCTAGATCTGTATAGACCTTTGGAATTTACCCGTGGAGAAATGATTTTTTGTGGGAGCAGATTGTGCTCTGGATTTCAGTCTAGATTTGGAAGCTAGCATCTATCGAATTGTGTCTAGAATTACTCACAGTAGGAATGTTGCAAAAAATATAAGTATATGACTTATCGATTGATTCTATCGCGAGGTAATAATCGACAAAGCAATCCAGTCAGACGGAGAGCGGAGTTTATCTAGATTAATAATCCACCTCATCTCCGTCATTCGCATAGTGAATCCGGAGTCTCCGGATTCAGGGGATCGGTCTACATTTCTCCAAGTTAACGTAAGAATCTCCTGCAGAGCTGCTTGTGAGGCATTTTTCGGAAATTCACCATCGACCCAATCATCAGGATTGAGTCTCAAAAGCTCCTAAACTGGTTCTCTTCTGGTTCCTCCCTGTCCTCCAACATGTGGCAGGGAGAGCATTCTCTGTTCGACATCGATTCATGAAGACCTAGCAATCACAGCGGCGTGCTGGAGGAGATTCTCATGATTATCGTAGAGCATGAGGAGTTTCCTCCGTCAATAAAAGAATCAATGTTGGACTCAAGTTTCATTTTTGAGACCTCAAGTGCAGCGCGAGTGTCTTAAGTCGAGAACAATTCCGTTGGCAAGCGGGTTGTTCCAGAGGGTCGGCAGCGTCGTCTCCACCTAGAGCTCTTACAATGACACACTATTGAGATAAATCAATCCAGAGCTCTCCGGACTCCGCTATGCTGGACTCATCCCTAGATTTTTGGAGTTGCATGACGATTCGCGTCCACCCTCATTCGACGGCGTCACCCTCATGAGCGATTCCAGCTTTCGAGCTTCTCCTGCCTTGCTCCCTGCTCTCTGGACGAAGCATCGGGCCCGCTCGATGCGGGCATCGGTACTCGGAAGTTGAAATTTCGGAGCCTGCAAAAATATCCTACCAGTCGCAGGATTTCAAGCTCGTTCATCAGAAATTCCGGAATCAGCCTCAGTATCAGACCAATTTTCACTGTGGTTTCGAGTCAATGACATGATTGCTCTCTTCAACGGGTGGCACCCCCTCGGTTGAGTGAAAGTTCTTCACCTTGACCGTGTTCGCCCGCTCGCGGAATCGCCTTCCAGCCGGCTCGAAGCAAAAATAGGATTGAAATCACACACGCACAGAATTTTTTCCTTTAAACCCTCTGATACTTCTGCGGAGGCAAGATCCAAACTGCTAACAATATACCCGAAGTTGAGCGCCGGCTCACAATCAGTCGGGACGGTGAACGCCCGCAACGATTTGCTCGTGTACAGAATGACATTCTGATTTCCCAGGTGAAGCCTGCGTTTGACAGCGATATCATTTGGTCTTGCAAATTCAATACCGAAAAGCGGAAAACCGGTTCGGGATCATTCAAGGGTATCCATATCCACAATGAATACTACAATTCAGAAAATTCGATAGAAAACACTTTCTCTACTCGACTTCAAGATGCAGTGGACCAGACCAATCTGGGGTCGTGCAGCCTCGATGGACAGATCGGGGAAAGTTTCAGGCTCTTGATCGCGACGAGTCAATCGAGCGCTCGGTCTTCCGATGCCCGGAAGCGATCGACAGACTGACGAGATTCTGAAGAATATTCCTCTCTCGTCATCATCAGAGCGTTCGTGCTACCAGTGAAAGAACTCGAGACCGGGAACATTTTACTTCGATGCTTCGTGAAGTTTTTGCTCCAAGCCCATCGGGGGGAGTCGAAATTAGAATTATTCCCGGAAAAAAAACGGGAGTTGGAACAATGCCTTGTAGAGGCTACCGATCGCCGAAGCCGAGGGAGGATATGCGAAACTCTTTTTTTACTCGGAATAAAAAACGGCGTCGCAAAAATCCGGAGTTCGGCCCTCGGCGATTGGACGATGCGATATTGCCGAGTCACAGCCGATAGGAGGCCCTTGAGCGATTTGGCTCACTCCGCAAAAGTCCCCGAGTCCCGAGAACTGACGCTTGTGCTCGCGAGATTTCGGACTTCCCTGTCGTTCCCCATTGTACGGACATGTTGATACCACAGAGGAGATACCATAGGGGTTTCGAATTCCCTGTTCGGTCTCCGGGTGTTGTTCACTCAAAAACGAATGAGTAGCATTTTCCATTCTCCTGCTTGGATGCTCGAATGGAACAGGAGATTATTTGGGATCGTTTGCGATTTCTCGAGCAATCAAGCAACGAGGTCTACCGGAAACCCGCAAGCTACAGCGCTAATTTTTCTGCGCACTACATTTATAACATGACGTAAGAGAGATAATATTCTGTTTAGAATACGCAGCAATTTCCCAGTGCACCCATTTTACGCTCAACGCCGCTCATTAACTCACCACATTGGCGAGTTCCATCTTTCTTATCCTGGGGGGGAAGGACCGACGAGGGGTTCGGACGATAAGGGGCCCGTTGTTATCTTGAATGAAGCTCCGTGTTGGTTGTAAGGGACCATATCCGGGACGACTTCGTCTAATCCGTCTTCCGGTGATTTTGAAAGTAGTCTCTTCGGATCAGGTGTGAGGAGGACACAGACTTCTCATCCCGGGAAGCGACTCTCGAGTTTCAGAGATTGTGGTTTCAAGTGAAGCGTGCTTCTCTCCTCTGATAGTTTGCGTGGGATTTTGGGAGTGGATTCTCAATAGCGTGAGTATGCGGGTGATCGGATGATGAATCTGGGCGCGGGAGGGCCACTCGAAATCTGCGACCATTCTTACTTCCCGAGAAAGTTCGAATCGTCGTGATGTGGAGGTGTCCCAAGGCTATTTAAATTCTCAAAGGGACTAGATCCAACATGAGGACCATTCCAGATGCGACTTAGCTCGGCCCGATGTGAGCTATGGCCTACATTCTCCGACCAAGTTCTTGAGATTCGGAGGCCATCTTCGTACTTGGAACGCTGAATATCTCTTACGATCCATACGTTACTCTCTCGCAATTTCTCCAACTGGGTTCGGATTGTTTGCGAAAGCAACTCATCATTGTCTCTATGATGGCGAACTAAGCTCTCAAAGTCATCGGGGGATCCCAGTGGTCTTCGGTTGATTAGAAACTACCGGAACGTAGAGGACGAGCCAATATTCCGATCCACGGGAAACCACCATGGCGGAGCAACCAACGGAAGTTTATTGTACTTTCAGAAGAACACTCGCGTCGAGGAACGAAAGTTTCTGATCGGCGGCCAAGAGTAAAAACTCGGAGCCTTGGAAGAACGCCTGAGAAATAAACACTTTGAGACTTTTTAAGGCGTAACTCGACTGGATGAAGCATTTGGAGAGTCTTCGCCGACGCTTTCTGCCAGGTGGATCACTTGTTCTCGGAGAAGCTGCGAGCCGTCCCTCAGAGCATCGATGGAGCTCCAACTATCATGTGAGACTCATGAGCCAGCAGCACAAGCCTGCGCGGGTACAATAAAAAACTGAGACGAGAGCCCAATCGGACCGGAACCAGGTCGTCAATCATTGGGGACGAAATATCAATGAATCTCGCTTGGTTAAGGCTCCACGAGGATGCGAGTCAGGGATCACTTTGATATGGCAGTCACAACATATTAGAATCAGGGCTCTCGTCGATCTCAAAGGACGGAGAGCGGTCTGTATTGATCTGGATTCAAAAGTCCAGGCGAGCAATCATGAAGTTCCGAGAAGCATCATTGGTATAGTGTCTCGAGTCTCGAGCTTTGACCTTTCGGGATCCGTTCGAGTGATGTTCGAGGCACTCGCGTATCATGCTTATTTCAAGAGGAGAACCCTCTGCGATTCTGGAGGAGAACATGATGAGAGCGGGGAACACATTCAAAAGCAACTGTCCAGTCGATGAGAAGCGTCGTGGTGCTTTTGGTCCGACGCGTCGGAGATCGACAAGTCATCGATATGCGGGGCGACGTCACAATCGATGTTTGA